GGAGAGAAACCATATGAGTGTCCAGATTGTGGGAAAAGTTTCAAGCGTAATTACCATCTGGAGAGACACAAGAGCACTCACACGGGTGAGAAACCATATGAGTGTCTGGATTGTGGGAAATGTTTCAAGCGTAATTCCCATCTGGGGAGACACCAGAGGATTCACACGGGAGAGAAACCATATGAGTGTCCAGATTGTGGGAAAACATTCAGTCAGAGTTCCAACCTGGTGATACACAAGAGGACTCACACAGGAGAGAAACCGTATGAGTGTCCTGATTGTGGGAAAGATTTCACTTGTAGGACTAGCCTTATAAATCACGTAAGGTTACACATAGGAGAGTAACCATTCAAATGTCCAGATTGTAAACAGTGTTTAGAGAAATCTTGATATTTTTTTCTTGTCTCTTACTGAAAGCCCAGCTGAGAAATTGATAATTTAATTTGTTGCGTGATTCTTTTTAGTCAAGCATGTCTTATTATTACACATGAGGATAGCTGAGCTTTCTTAGTTTGGCGCAATGCGGTTGTTCCCTTTCACAGAGTCAAGGGGAACAGCCATTGCTGGGCCAGAGAAAGCAAGTTTGCAGCTCTATTAGGTATGTTTGTTGCCCTGAGTTATTTCTACATATAATACGGGGATATAAACATGTATGTATGTATTTTTACTTAGCATGAAAATGTATATGGCAGCCAAACTGATGGTGAGTGCACAATAAAACCTTACTACAGACTCCAGCAATAAAACCTTAATACACAAACGAATAACCCCATATATATTTCAAATGGCAAAATGCAAAAGCACCACATTTAACATGTATTGATAAATGTACAGACCTTCATTTACCTCAAGCCACTTGCTTCAGCAGATTCATTCATTTCTTCTTCCACTGATTTATTTAAAATATTTTTATGTAGCTTCCCATATTAGAACAAACTGGCTGGCTCCCAATCAATAATTAACTTTAAAACTGTATTAAAACCAAGTGCATAAAAACAAAAACCTGGTTTCGATCCACCTTCTGATGTGCAGTCCTCGCTGCTTCTCCCAATGTTTAGGGGAAAAGCTAGTTTTTATTTGCTTTATGGAGCGCTAGGAGGGTAAAGGCCTGCCAAACTTAAGGGGGGAAAGCGTCTCCTACGGCAGGAGCTGCAACAGGCCAGGCTCTCTTCCTAGCTCCTATCAGATGGCAATATTTAAGAAAAGGGGCCAGGGGCATTCCCATCCTATCTGACCTGGAAGAACAGATAGGTGCAAAAATAAAGGGGGGGAAATAATGACAGGTGCCCTGTTGGCTCAGTGGTCAGAATGCCGATTGTCGGCTGACTTTGGTCCTGATATGTCACGGTAGTAAGTTCTGGCTGGCCATGCTCCCAGTATTTCCTCCCAGACAATCAACTGTTCATATGATCAGCTGTGCTGAGGCCCAGGAAGACCAAAATGGAGGGAGGGGCTCAGCCATTGTTTACCTTCCTGAGCCGCAGAGGAGCCTTATGGGAGCAAACCTCCCCTAGAGGCTCCTCTGAGGCCCAGAAGGCCCAAAAAAACTGGTGGAGGGGGTGGCTGCAAAAAAAGCCACGCCCACTATCGCGTGGCCACGATCACGAAACCACGCCCACAGAACCGGTAGTAAAACATTTTGAATCCCACCATTGGACTTGGCACAGAAGAAACCACGAGATCCCTTAAAACCTCCTGCAAACGCTTTCAGGTAGACAGACGAGGGTGATTTTTCAACTTTATGTCGCTAGGCGGCGCTCTACAAAGAAGGAACACTCGCCCCTAGAAAGCCGAGAATAGACTACAAGCAGCGGCATCGCTATTACTGACATTCTACCGGAGGGAGAGAGGTGGAACTGGAACCCATTGAAACGATAGAGTATAAGGTTGCTAGAGGGGATGTAGAGGAGGAGACAGGAACTTTCTCTTCCGGCTTACCCGGAGGAAGAGAGGAGGAGGAGGAGGAGGGCGTTGGCGGACCCTTGTTTGAAGGATCGAAGCGGCTCCTGGGAGGTGAGTGGAGGGCAGGTCGGAGGAGAAGCCGGGAGCAAGTCGGGTGCCTTTGGGTTCCTCCACGGCGGGGAAGCAGCTGAAACATGGCGTTGTTTGTATATTTTTGTATATGTTTGTATATTTTTCCCGTCCCCGAATTTTATTATCCTTTTGCTGCTTGATTTAAAACGGCTGCCTGTGATTTTCTGCTGGGAGATTTTCATATATTTTTTCAAATTTCTTAACCACCCACCTCCCTCACCCTTCGCCTTACGCTTCATTCCTTGTTATGTTATTGACGTGTTGCTTTCCTGGCAAGCTAGGAGCTTCATGGGCAGAACGGATGCTTTAAATCTTGCCTAGAATTTGTTCACCATTTCCGTCTGTTAGTGTGTCTCCCTCCCCTCCTTCCTAAAATCAGATCAAGATAATGGAGCGAATCCACTTCTGAGGCGTTTTGCAGACTGAAATACACATAATTGCTTCCATAGATAAATTCATAGGAGAGTATTTCCCGGTGAATAGGAACCCATATACGGTGCATTCAGAAATTATTCAGACCCTTTTCACTGCTGTCGATTTGGTTTGTGCTGCAGCCTCATTTAACACTTCTTGGAATTCATTTTTTTCCTCATTCATTACATCCATAATGATAAAGTGAAAACAGAATGTTAGAAAATGTCTGTAAATGTATTTAAAAAAAAATTAAAATACCCCCTTGGCATAAATATTCAGGTCCTTCACTCAGTATTTTGCTGAAGCACCTTTGACAGCAATTACAGGCTTTTGGGTATCAGGCGATAAGTTTGCATACCTGGATTGGGGGATTTCCTACCATTCTTCCTTGCAAGTCCTCTCAAGCTCAGTCTGGTTGGATGGCGACCATTGGTGGGCAGCCATTTCCAGTCCCCTCCAGAAATGTTCAGTAGGGTTCAAGTCAGGGGCCCCTGGCTGGGCCACTCTAGGACATTCACAGAGTTGTTCTTAAGCCTCTCCTGTGTTGTCTTGGCTGTGTGCTTAGGATTGTCATCATGTTGGAAACTGAATCTTAGGCCCAGTCTGAGGTCGTGAGTGCTGTGGAACAGGTTTTCATTGAGGATATCCCTGTACTTTGCTCCATTCATCTTTCCCTCAACCCTCTCCGGTCTCCCCATCCCTGCTGCCAAAAAACACCCCACAGCATAATGCTGCCACCACCATGCTTCACTGTTGGGATAACTTTGAGCAGGTGATGAGCGGTGCCAGGTTTCCTCCAGGCATAACAATTACCATAGAATTGTGGCCAAACAGTTCAGTCTTGGTTTCAACAGACTAGAAAATCTTGTTCCTCAGAGTCTGAGAAACCTTCCGGTGCATTTTAACAAACAGGTTTTCATGTGTTTTGCACTGAGGAGAGTCTTCCGCCTAGCCAGTCTGCCATTAAAACCTAGATCGGTGGAGGGCTGCATTGATGGTTGTCCTTCTGGAACTTTCCCCCATCTCCACACAGGATCTCTGGAGTTCAGCCAGAACCAAGACAACACAGGAGTGGCTTAGGGACAACTCTGTGAATGTCCTAGAATGGCCCAGCCAAAAACCCTGTCTTGAACCCTATTAAACATTTCTGGAGGGAACTGAAAATGGTTGTTCACCAACAGTTGCCATCCAACCTGTCTGACCTTGAGAGGACTTGAAAGAAAGGCAAAAAATACCCCAATCCAGGTGTGGAAAACTTCTCATGTCATGATCCAAAAAACTCGAGGCTGTCATTGCTGCCAAAGATGGATCAACAAAGTACTGAGTGAAGGGTCCGAATACTTAGGCCAATGTGATATTTCAGTTTGTTTTTTAATAAATGTACAGACATTCGTAGAATTCTGATTTTGCTTTGTCATTATGAGTGTAGATTAATGAGAAAAAATTAATTTTAACAACTGTAGAGCATAATAAAATGATAGTGATAGAAGTGAAGGGGATCAGAATACTTTGAATACTTCTGAATTCACTGTAAGTGTGATTTATTCAAGCCAAAACAATTTTTTATTGGGTTGATATTTTGATCGGCTAGCCTTCTACATGCCAAATGAATTATAGTTAATCTTAGAGATTAAAGTAGAATTTTGATGTTTGTTTTTTCATGATATCATATGAGGCATTTCTGCTCAAGACAGCAAATGGCTGTCTTGCAGCCATTTTTAAATAATAATGAAACTAACCCATAAATATGAATCTTACAGACAAAGAGGATGCCACGACGAACACTCTGGACAACAGAGAATGAGAAACAGCATTAATATGTAAAACAAACCATCAATCAAAATCTTCCACTTCTTCCAGGAAGCGTAAAATCTCTTCTCCTTCCCCAGCTGATGAGAGACAATGGAGAGAATTACAAGAACAAAGCTTTCAGCTGGGAAAAAATAGAGTATTTGGAACTCAAGGAAACATTACATGAAAAGTCAAGGAGGATAATTTATAAATAAAGAACACCTGGAAATCAGTGGGAATAAAAAGGATACCCCTGGATAGTCAAAACTGGCAGGCATTAACAAAAGGCTTTGTGTAAGAAAAGAGTAGCTTGAATCAAAGAACCACTAGGTAAGGGATCCTAAACATTGTTGGCCTCCTCAAGAATCCAAGAATATCAATGTTGGAAAATCCCTACCAACTGCTTAGTATGGGAACAACACAGATTGCAGATCACATCTGTTAGATGCATAAGTTGAACCATCCTGTAAAAAGCCATACAAATGTTTGGGGTGTGGCAGAAGCTTTACTCAGAACAGGTCGCTCGTGATTCCTGGAAGGAACCATACGGAAGAGAAACTCTCCCACTGCTCCCATTGTGACAAAAAATTAGCATGCAAACCAATCTGGCGATACACAAGAGGACTCACACCCCGGAGAAACAATATGAGTGTCTGGATTGTGGGAAAAGTTTTCTGCATAATTCTAAGCTGGTGATACATCAGAGAACTCACACGGGAGAGAAACCATATGAGTGTCCCGATTGTGGGAAAAGTTTCAGTCAGAATTCCTACCTGGTGCGGCACCGGAGGACTCACACAGGAGAAAAACCATATGAGTGCCCGGATTGTGGGAAAAGTTTCAGTCGGAATTCCCACTTGGTGGAACACCAGATGACTCACACAGGAGAGAAACCATATGAGTGTCCAGATTGTGGGAAACGTTTCCAGCAGAATTCCAAACTGGTGGTACACCAGAGGACGCACACGGGAGAAAAACCATACGAGTGTCCGGACTGTGGGAAATGTTTCAAGGAGAATTCCAAACTGGTGATACACCAGAGGAGTCACACAGGAGAGAAGCCATATGAGTGTCCCGATTGTGGGAAAAGTTTCACTCAGAATTCCTACCTGGTGATACATCAGAGGATTCATACGGGAGAGATACCATTTGAGTGTCTGGAGTGTGGGAAACTTTTTAGTAGGAATTCCAAATTGCTTATGCATCAGAGGACTCACACGGGCGAGAAACCGCTTGAATGTCCTGATTGTGGGAAAGGTTTAAATTGCAATTCTGACCTGGTGGTACACCAGAGGATTCACACAGGAGAAAAACCGTTTGAGTGTGTGGAGTGTGGGAAAACTTTCATTCAAAATTCCCACCTTGTGGAACACCGCAAAACTCACACAGGAGAGAAACCATATAAGTGTCCAATTTGTGGGAAAGGTTTCTATCGGAATTCCCATGTAATAGTACATCAGAGGTCTCACACAGGAGAGAAACCATATGAGTGTCTGTTTTGTGGGAAAGGTTTCAGTCAGAATTCCTATCTGGTTAAACACCACAGGATTCACACAGGAGAAAAACCATATGGATGTCCTGAATGTGGGAAAAGTTTCAGTCGGAATTCTGACTTGATGATACACTGGAGGACTCACACAGGGGAGAAACCATACGAATGTCCAGATTGTGGGAAAGCTTTCAGTATCAGGTCTAGCCTTGTAAATCATGTAAGGTTACACACAGGGGAGAAACCATTCAAGTGTCCAGATTGTGGGAAGTGTTTCACACAAAATTCCTCTCTTATCGCACACAAGAAATTCCATATGAAGCAAAATTTGATGTGTGTGGAGGAATCTTGAATTTCGTTTCTCTTCTCTCTTTGGAAGCCCAGTTGAGAAACATTTAATTTATTGCCTTAATTGTTTTTAGTCAAACGTGTCTTAGTATCAAAAATGAGGGAGGAGGTCTGAGCTTCCTTTCTCTGGAGTTGTGTGGTTGTTCCTTTTCACAGTGTTGAGAGGAATTGCCATGCTGGGCCAGAGAAAAGGTGCTCAGATCTCTATTAGGTATGTTTGCCACCTTGAGTTGTTTATATAATAAAGGCAGGATATAGATGCGTATGTATGCATGCATTTATTTTTGTTAAGAAATGGTGTATGGCAGCCCAACCCAATGTGACTCCAGATGGCTTACAGCAATAAAACCTTAATACAGAAACCAATACACTACATATATAGCAAATAGCAAAATACAAAGCCTCCACATTTGGCATACTCCCACACCATTGCATTCCCCACCATCCAGTCACAGCTGGAGAGGCTTCTTGAATGAGAAGCAAAATGTCTCCAAGGAAAAAATAGAGTTGATCTTCAAAAAGCACCTTTGGGACTACTATGACCTGGATGCCTGAGAATCTCCGTAGAGTTTTAACTATCTTTATTCCGAACCTCTACATTCCTCTAATCCTAATCTCCATATGTACCTAGTCTACTGTACACTATCTCCTTCTCTCTCCCCCCATCCTCTAGTTCTGTGATGGCGAACCTATGGCACACGTGCCGGAAGTGGTTCATAGAGCCATCTCTCCCGGCATGCCTGCCGTTGCCCATTGCTCTTCTGGGTTCCGGCCCACGCATGCACGCTGGCTAGCTGATCTTTGTGCATGCACACACCCCAGTAACCAGAAAACCACTTAGTCGATGCGCACGTGCGCACAGCAAACACAAACTCAGCTTCCATTGTGCGCTTGTGCACTGGGAGTTTTAGGCGCACCTGTTTTGGCACTTGCTGCCTAAAAGGTTTGCCAACATTGCTCTAGTTAGTAGCTATCTCTATCCCTTTCCTATAATGTTCTAAGTGTTTTATCTTTCTATGTGCTCCAGCAATAGCATTTAGACTTATATACCGCTTCACAATGCTTTACAGCCCTCTCTAAGTAGTTTACAGTCAGCCTATTGTCTGCAACAATGTGGGTCCCAAGGCTGAGTCAACCTTGAGCCTGGTGAAATGCCATAGACTTTCCCTGTTCCACTCAGATATTAGCAATGTGGAAGGAAGATGTTGGCTTGGATTTCTCTCAGGAATGGACTTCAAGCCAGGAATGTGTATAAGAATTACTTGATAGAAAAAAGGAGGGAAGGCATGACAATGAGGTATTTTTCCTAGTTTCTTGTTTGTGGCTTACATTCTATTGTTTGTATGTGTTTTGAATATTAAATGGCTAATTTAAAAATGAGTGTCAAGCAGAAACGTTTTTGCGTGCACAGACATACTGCCATTCTTTTTACAATGCTTTCAAACATTTCTTCCAAACTTGGAAGGCTGGAAGGCTGAGTCAACCTTGAGCCTGGTGAAATGCCATAGTCTTTCCCTGTTCCACCCAGATGTGAGAAATGTGGAAGGGAAATGTTGGCTTGGATTTCTCTCCCAGGAGTGGACTTCAGGCCAGAATCCCTTTTTAAGAAGGGTTTTCTTCTGGATAGCTGAGGGGACACAATTCCCAAACAGGAATGCGTATAAGAATTACTTGATAGAAAAAAGGAGGGAAGGCATAACAATGAGGTGTTTTTCCTAGTTTCTTGTTTGTGGCTTACATTCTATTGTTTTTATGTGTTTTGAATATTAAATTTCTAATTTAAAAATGAGTGTCGAGCAGAAACTTTTTTGTGTCTGCCATTCATTTTACAGTGCTTTCAAACATTTATTTGAAAAGTGTGTGAGTTTTGTTTACCAAATATAGACAGCCCCTTTCTGAGTGCTCTTTTTCTAGGCCCTGTTGGATATATGTCTCACACAGTTTGACTTAATGGAGATTTCCGTGCTAAGGAAATTAAAGAACCACATGGCAATTTGCAACTTAAAAAGTGATTTTATTGGCATGTTATTTTCCTGCCAAGTGAGAAGTATCACGGGCACCATTTCATTTGTTAGTGTCTCCACCTTTCTAAAATTAGATATAAAAAATTGAGAGAGTGCCCTCGTGGGATACTTTGCACACTGAAAAGACACATTCATTTTCTACATACATAAATTCGTATTTATATGGGCATACATGTGCATATATGTGTGATCTCTCCAAGCCAAAAAGAAGTTTATGATTGAGTCAATATTTCAACTTGAATCCTGATTGAAATTTGAATTACGTACAGGACCTCTACGTAATTGGGTATTGTAGGATGGATGGCCTCCCCTAGCGGTTTGATATAGATTTTAAAAAGTATCAGCGAACGGCTTGAGCCCCGGGGCACCCCGAATTTCAAGGGCCCATACTCGGCCTCTCTTCCACCCACACGGACTGGAACCAGGTATAGAGGTAGAAGTAGAACCACCCTAACTGCCAACCTTTCATTGTTCTCTTCAGCTGCACTTAACAAAAGACCTTAATCTGCAGCAATGCCTTGAACTGCTCTGCCAGGAAAACCTCTCGTGATTTTCTTATGCATAGCAAACTGCTGTTGGAGGCATAAAGCCTGCCTGGATGCTAACTTTCCAGAAGGTGGGGAATGACTCTTCCAGACCTCTCCTGAGCTTGTGAAAGAAATAGGGGTGGTTGTCAGGTTGCAACACTAATTGGCCCCGGAATATCCATTGATAACCAAGGATGGGGCACCAATAAGGAATATTAGGCTTGATAGCTAAATTGGGAAGTAAGAGAAAATAAAATTTCAGAAGAGACAAGCTACAGTTTTAAAAGGTTCGCTGCTTTGCAGAGGCAGGTTTTCAGGAGTTATCCCGCACGCTCTCCCCACCCCGCCCGAGGAAAAAGTAGCTGGAACCAAGGGAGGTACCGAGGATTGAGATTGAACGGGTTGAAACGATAGAGTAGTGGATTGCTAGAGAGGTTGTAAAGGAGAGGAGGCGCAGGGCAGGGGAACTTCCTCTTCCGGCTCAGCCCCGGGAGGCTGGTGGCGTCCGCGGAGCCTCTTGTGCAGCTTGGAGGGTCGAAGCGGCTCCTGGGAGGTGAGTGGAGGGCAGGTCGGAGGAGAAGCCGGGAGCAAGTCCGGCCCTTTGGGTTCCTCCACGGCGGGGAAGCAGGGAAGGGAGAAGGCTGAAACATGTCGGCTTCTGCTTCACATTCTTCCCCTCCCCGGATTTTATTATCCTTTTGCTGCATGATTTAAAATTGCTCCCTGTGATTTTCCGCTGGGAGCTTTAAAAAAAAAAAGACCATTTATTCCGTATTTCTTAAACCCGCATTTTAAGCACCAGCTTCCACGTCCCTGTTGATTGCTTGTGACGTGGCTGACCTGGGGTTTTCCTGGCAAGCGAGGAGCTTCAGGGGCAAAGCGGAGGATGCTTTGTGGCTCGACTAGGAGTTGGGCACCGTTTCCTCTATTAGCGTCTCCTCCCCTCCCCTCTCTGAACTTAGATCAAAGAATTGGAGCGAATGCACTTTGGGACATTTTGCACACCAAGATACGCATAGATTGTCTGCATACATTCATAGGTGTGTGTTTCTGTGCTCATATGCGTGAATATATGAGTGTATTTCCCCAAGCCAAAAAATTAAGTGTAATATTATAGCACACATCTGCTTGAAGAGAAAGATGGACTAGAAGATCTCCAAGGTCCCTTTCAACTCTATTCTGCTTGACTGATTGATTGGAAAAGAGATCTTGCATCAATATTTGAACTTGGATCTCGTTAGGCTTCTGTCTGCCAAATAAATCATCATTAATATTAAACACTAAAATAGAATTTTAGTCTTTGTGTTTTCATGCTAATATATGAGATGGGAATTTTTTTCCTGCTTTCACATCACTGGTGGGATTCAAATAATTTTAACAACTGGTTCTCTGCCCTAATGACTGGGTGGACATGGCCAACTTGATTGGTTTCACCCTTAGGAAATTTCTTCTTAGTCCAATTCACAATAAAATAGCACTGTTCCAATATTTAGATAAGAATAGAATAACAGAATTGGAAAGGACCTTGGAGGTCTTCTAATCCCACCTCCTGCTTTGGCAATAAACCCCACACCACTTCAGACAAATTATTATCCAACCTCTTCTTAAAAACTTCCAGTGTTGGAGCATTTACAACTTCTGAATGCAAGTTGTTCCACTGATTAATTGTTCTGTCCGGAAATTTGAGTGGCTCCTACAAAAATGAGGGAGTCAGTCTAGTTTCTAAAGCACCAAAAGGCACAACAGGAAACAATGGATGGAAACTAACCAAAGAGGAGAAGCAACTAAGGAGAAATTTCATAAGGGTGAGACTAGTCAACCAATGAAATAGGTCCGTGATGGCAAACCTATGGCATGCGTACCAGAAGTGACATACAGAGCCATCTCTGCGGGCATGCAGGTCATTGCCCCAGCACAGTTGCACTGCGCATGTGTGCATGCCTCCTGCCAGCCAGCTGATTTTTGGGTATCTGCTGTGCATGCGCAGGAGGTGGAGGGAGCACAGGAGGTCCCGCACACGTGCAGTGGGGTCCTGCACGCATGCACCGGCGGGAGCGCGCGGGGGAGCAAGTGTATTGCATTATGCGTGCACGCACACATTTGGCACGCAATGACAAGGTTAGCCATCACTGAAATAGGTTGCCTTCAGAAGTTGTGGGTGCTCCATCAGTAGAGGCTTCCAAAAAGAGTGAGGGAAGTACACCCCAAAAGGACAGTGCCAGGGACCACTAAAACAATGCAGAAAACTTAAAACAGTCATTCCCCTTTTTTAAAAAAAGTCAACCCCAAAGCAAATGCAGTAGCTGAGAGGGAAACTAAGAGCAGCAGCTCGTGCTAATTGAAAGCCTGGGCGTGCTGCCAAAAGTCATTAACCCTTCCAACTCTATTATTCTATGTTCTAAATTGGGTGCTTTACAGCAGAAGCAATACAGCTGGCTGGACCACACATGCATTAAATTCACGGCCTGTATCATCAAGCAGCATCCTGTATCTTTTCCCCCAGGAAGAAACAAGAAGTAGCCAACACTGCAGCAGCAATAAAAGGTCTTGGGGAACTCCAAGGAGTATCGGCTGATCACAGAACTGTTACTTAATGCTCTATAATGAAAGTGTTTGTAATCTTGTCCTTCTTCCTGAAGGGAAGAGGTTAATCCCATCCCTAGATGGATGATTAATCGGTTTTCCTGCCCTAATCCTGTCAGTTTCTGTTGTTTATTGACTTGATTCAGCATGTGTCGGCTTCATTCCAGCTGCAACTGTTAAGTGGTTCTTGCTGTCTGCCTGGAGCTATTAACTGAAGGGAGAGAGAGGGGAAAAAACCTCTCGCACTTTATTTTTAGCCAGTTCGCAGAACTGCATAAGCAATTAACTAATAGTTCGGGTGAACCAGTGACAACCAGCTGAATCCCACCCTTGTTTCACATGTCCTGCAGCCATTTTTCAACAATAATGAAACTAACCCATTTATATTAATCTTACAGAGAGAGAGGATGCCAAGAAGAGCACTCCGGACAACAGAGAATGAGAAGCAGCATTAAAGTGCAAAATAAACAAAATATTTTCCAATTCCTCTGGAAATTTTAAAAACTCTTCTTCCTCAACAGATGACAGACGACAGAAAGAATAACAAATTTTGCGCTGGAAAAAATATAACATATGGAACTGAAAAAAACATTTAATGAGAAATCAAGGTTAATTTTTAAAGGAAAAGTGAGGAATAACTGGAAGTCAGCGCGAAGAAAAATGTTCCATGCATAGCCAAAACTGGCAGCAAATAATTAAAGCCTTTGGTGAATGCTTGAATGGCTTGAATGAAACAACCACCAGGCAGCAGATCAGAAATATTTTTCGCCTCCTCAAGTATCTCCAAAAAACCACAGGCTGCCTATTTTGGGAAAAACAAAGAATGCAGATCACATCTGATTGATGCATAAGCCGATCTACCCTGTGAACAGCCATACAGATGTTTGGAGTGCAGCAGAAGCTTTACTCAGAACAGGTCTCTCGTGACTCGTGGAAGGACCCCTACTGAAGAGAAACTCTACCAGTGCTCCACATCTGACAAAAGATTTAGCATGCACACCAATCTGCTGATACACAAAAGCACTCACAATGGTGAGAAACCATATGAGTGTCTGTATTGTGGGAAAAGTTTTCTGCATAATTCCAAGCTGGTGATACACCAGAGGACACACACGGGAGAGAAACCATATGAGTGTCCAGATTGTGGGAAAAGGTTCAGTCATAATTCGAACCTGGTAATACACCGGAGGACTCACACGGGAGAAAAACCATATGAATGTCCAGATTGTGGGAAAAGTTTCCAGCAGAATTCTAAACTTGTGGTACACCAGAGGACTCACACAGGAGAGAAACCATATAAGTGTCCAGATTGTGGGAAAGGTTTCAATTGGAATTCCGAATTGGAAGTACACCACAGGACTCACACTGGAGAAAAACCATATGAGTGTCCGGATTGTGGGAAATGTTTCAGTCGGAATTCCCACCTGGTGGAACACCAGAGGGCTCACACAGGAGAGAAACCCTATGAGTGTCCAGATTGTGGAAAACGTTTCCAGCAGAATTCAAACTTGGTGATACACCAAAGGACTCACACGGGAGAGAAACCATATGAGTGTCCCGATTGTGGAAAAAGGTTCAAGCAGAATTCCAAGCTGGTAGTACATCAGAGGACTCACACAGGAGAGAAACCATATAAGTGTCCCGATTGTGGGAAAAGTTTCAGTCAGAATGCCAACCTGGTGATACATCAGAGGACTCACACGGGCGAGAAACCATTTGAATGTCCTGATTGTGGAAAAGGTTTCAATTGCAATTCTGACCTGATGGTACACAAAAGGACTCACACAGGAGAAAAACCGTTTGAGTGTCTGGAGTGTGGGAAAACTTTCATTCAAAATTCCCACCTTGTGGAACACCGCAGGACTCACACAGGAGAGAAACCATATAAGTGTCCAGATTGTGGGAAAGGTTTCTATAGGAATTTCCATATGATAGTACACCAGAGGTCCCACACGGGAGAGAAACCATATAAGTGTCTGTTTTGTGGGAAAGGTTTCAGTCAGAATTCCTATCTGGTTAAACATCACAGGACTCACACAGGAGAAAAACCATATGAGTGTCCTGATTGTGGTAAAGGTTTCAATTGCAATTCTGACATGGTGGTACACCAGAGAATTCACACAGGAGAAAAACCATATGAGTGTCCTGAATGTGGGAAAAGTTTCATTCGGAATTCTGGCTTAGTGATACACTGGAGGACTCACACAGGGGAGAAACCATATGAGTGTCCAGATTGTGGGAAAGCTTTCAGTATCAGGTCTAGCCTTGTAAATCATGTAAGGTTACACACAGGGGAGAAACCATTCAAATGCCCAGATTGTGGACAGTGTTTCACACAAAATTCCTCTCTTACTGCACACAAGAAATTCCATATGAAGCAAAATTTGATGTGTGTGGAGGAATCTTGAATTTTGTTTCTCCTCTCTCTTTGGAAGCCGAGTTGAGAAATTAACCATTTAATTTTTTGCCTTATTCTTTTTAGTCAAAAATATTTTAGTATCAAACATGAGGGAGGAGATCTGAGCTTCCTTTCTCTAGAGTTGTGTGGTTCCCTTTCACTGCATCAAGCTTGAATTTCGTTTGTCTTCTCTGGAAGCCCAGTTGAGAAATTAAACATTCACTTTCTTGCCTTAATTGTTTTTAGTCAAACATGTCTTAGTATCAAAAACCAGGGAGGAGATCTGAGCTTCCTTTCTCTAGAGTTGTGCAGTTGTTCCCTTTCACAGAGTTGAGGGGAATTGCCATGCTGGGCCAGAGAAAAGTTGCTCAGATCTCTATTAGGTATGTTTGCCACCTTGAGTTGTTTCTAGATATAATAAAGGCAGGATATAGATACGTATGTATGCATGCATGTATTTTTGTTAAGAAATTGTGTATGGCAGCCCAACCCAATGTGACTCCAGATGGCTTACAGCAATAAAACCTTAATACAGAAACCAATACACTACATATATAGCAAATAGCAAAATACAAAGCCTCCACATTTGGCATACTCCCACACCATTGCTTTCCCCACCATCCAGTCACAGCTGGAGAGGCTTCTTGAATGAGAAGGAAAAGGAGAAAAACAAAATAGAGTTGATCTTCAAAAAGCACTTTTGGGACTACTATGACCTGGATGCCTGAGAATCTCCATAGAGTTTTAACTATCTTTATTCCGAACCTCTACATTCCTCTAATCCTAATCTCCATATGTACCTAGTCTACTTTATACCCTGTCTCTCCCCATCCTGTAGTTCTGTGATAGCAAACCTATGGCACACGTGCTGGAAGTGGCAAGCAGACTTATCTCTCCTGGCATGCCAGCCGTCACATGTTGCTCTTTGGGTTCTGGGGCACGCATGTGTGCCGGTCAGCTGGTCACATGCGCAAGAGCGCCGAAAACTGGTACAGCCGGGGAACTGATCTCCTGGTTTCCTGTTGCCCCTGTACATGTGCCGGGGAGCTTCTCTTTCTGTTTCCAGCACGCCCCTACGCACGCATGCTCCTGTTTTGGCACTCGCTCCAAAAAAGGTTTGCCAACACTGCTCTAGTTAGTCGCTGTCTCCATCCATTTCCTATAATGTTCTGTGTGTCTTATCTTTCTATCTGCTCCAGCAATAGCCATAGTATTTAGACTTATATATTGCTTCACAATGTTTTACAGCCCTCTCTAAGCAGTTTAGAGTCAGCATATTGTCCCCAACAATCTGGGTCCTCATTTTTTCCAAACTTGGATGAGTCAACCTTGAGCCTGGTGAAATACCATAGTCTTTCCCTGTTCCACCCAGATGTGAGAAATGTGGAAGGGAAATGTTGGCTTGGATTTCTCCCAGGAATGGACTTCAGGCCAGAATCCCTTTTTAAGAAGGGTTTTCTTCTGGTTAGCTGAGGGGACACAATTCCCAAACACGTATAAGAATTACTTGATAGAAAAAAGGAGGGAAGGCATAACAATGAGGTGTTTTTCCTAGTTTCTTGTTTGTGGCTTACATTCTATTGTTTTTATGTGTTTTGAATATTAAATTTCTAATTTAAAAATGAGTGTCAAGCAGAAACTTTTTTGTGTCTGCCATTCATTTTACAGTGCTTTCAGACATTTCTTTGAAAAGTGTGTGAGTTTTGTTTACCAAATATAGACAGTCGCTTTCCGAGTGCTCTTTTTCTAGGCCCTGTTGGGTATATGTCTCACTCACTTTGACTTAATGGAGATTTCCATGCTAAGGAAATTACAGAAGCACATGGCCATTTGCAGACTTAAAATCCTAGACAGCCCTGGCCAGGAGTGAAGCTACTTCCCTTGGAGGCTCTGACCTGCTGGTGCTTCCATCTCCTAAATCTTGGGGAGCCAAAGGAAATCAGTCATAACATTTTACTATGTGGAAAGATTTTGAGGGGACTGAGAGGCAACAATTAAAGCGCAGGGCACTTTAGTTCAGCTTTCCAGAAACGTGTCCTCCAAATATTTTGGCCAAGCTGTCTGGGTACATTCAATGCTGGAATCTTAAACCCTCTGGAAATTGGGAAGGCTGTTCAGAGGAACTCTGTCCTCTAGTGAGATTTGGGCCCTGCAAGAATGCAGGTGGAAAAATAATATCTCCTGTCTAGATGGGTTTGGAAGCAATGTGGGTGGGGCCTTCAAGGTTTTGTCCTGTATTTCATTCTTCTATTAATGGGATGAAGTTGGCAATTGTTTTAAGGCTGCACATACAAACGAGACCTTGATCAACTTTTATGATGCAGCACCTGGCTAATCTTGTGAAGCTAAGTAGGGTCAGGCATCACTCTTTAAGCTTCTGTCCATTGCAAAGGTCCTTTGGGGGGAGTTATCCCGCATTTCCAAGATGAAGAACTGGCTGGAATAGTCTCCAGTGATCCAGAAGGGAATTTCTTGTTGCCTGATGGCACATTGTGTTCCCCGCAAGGATGCTGTCCCTTGGTTTAGTCCCTGCAAAAGAAGCTCCCGGCCCAGTTGCAGTGATGATGAGGGCGTCCCTACTAGACCCCAAAGGACATACTATGACTAGATGGTCCTGGAGAAAAAATTATGAATGTAGTGGCTAACAATGGAAAAGGACACTTCATTAAAAAAAATCTTTAAAACATCAGATAGAGATACTGAGCCTATTTTCAGACTTACGTCACTACGTAGAGCTGTATAACACATGTGCCTAGAAAATTGCCAATCTAATAGCAGCACCAGTGGTGGCTGAAATCCAGCATCCAACTGGAGGGAAGCAACTGCTGAGGGGAAAGGAGTTAAAACACAATATTGCTAGAAAGGATGTCGGGAAGAGGACAAGGGCAGTGGAGCTTCCTCTTCCACCTTACCCACAGGATGTCGGAGGGTTGCAGTTGTGCTCTTCCCAGGAAGGGGAACCGAGCATAGATCAGAAGAGAATATGGGACTAGTAGGGCTGTTTGGTTTGCTCCACATAGTAAAAACATAGAAGCAAATAGGCTGAATGTTGTCGGCTGCCAGTGCGTATTCTTTATCTTCCCAAATGTTTTTTACAATTATACTGCATGATTTTAAAATGCTGCCTGTCATCTGCTGGGAAATAGGCAACACTAATCTTTAAAAGGCCTGAAGACTAAAATTTAAAGGCCTTGACACTAAAACATGAAGAACGGTTGGTTGCAGGATGTAGGTATGACCAGTCTAGAGAAAAGAAGGACCAGGGGTGACATGATAGAAGTATTCCAGTATTTGAGGGGCTGCCTCTAACTTGTTTTCCATAGCACCGGAAAGAAGGATGAGAAACAATGGATGGAAATGAAGTTGAGAATCTGCCTAGAAACAAAAAGAAACAGAACAAATAACTAATAGAGCAAATGTGGAAACATAGGAAGCATACCCAGTCAGACATAAAGATCTCAAGTGCCTATATACAAATCCACAACGTCTGGGGAACAAACAGCGTGAACTCGAACTACTAATACATGAAGGTAGATATGATGTAGTTGGACTAACAGAAACTTGTTGGGATGAAATCCATGACTGGGACATACTGATAGAAGGATATAAACTGTTCAAAAAAAAACCAGACCCCATAAAAAAGGAGGTGGAGTTGCACTGTATGTAAAGGACAACTATATTGCTACAGAAACACACGAAACCAAAGCTTAAGACCTCATAGAATGCATATGGGTCAATATAAAAGAAAAAAAGAATGACATGGCCATAGATGTATACTATAGGCCAGGGGTCTCCAACCTTGGCCACTTTAAGACTTGTGGACTTCAACTCCCAGAGTTCCTCAACCAGGAACTCTGGGAGTTGAAGTCCACAAGTCTTAACAAAGATATGTAAGAAACACACTACAATCGGGTGGGATTTTACTGGTTCGGCTCAGTTCAGGCAAAACAGCTGTTACGATTCTGTGCAGTTAGGAAAACTGGCAAATCATACCACTGGCTGGCCCCGCTCCTTCCCGCCCAATCCACCCAGTCACTCCTTATCTAGCGTGTGCGCCATGGCTACCTGCAGTCTGCCTTCGCCAGCCAGCTAGCCAGCCACCGCTGCCTTCCTTTCGCCACAGCCCTGTGTCATCTGATCTCTCTGGGACTGGGTGAGTGAGGCTCTGCAAGTCCCGGTGGCCTACCTGCCACCGCCAACAGCCCCAGTTGAATCCCGACTCCCGGATCGCCCTCGCTGACACCACCTGCCATTGCTGCCTGTCTTGCCCAGCTGCCATTTTTGCCTGCCCACCATTGCTGAAGGTCCCACCGCGGATCGGTGAGTGAGCCCTCAAGCACGGCCCGGTTGCCTACCTGCTAACACCGCCAGCCCCAGTTGAGTCCCGACTCCCAGGCTGCCCCGCTGCTCTTGCTGACACCACCTGCCATCGCCGCCTGCCCCACCGGCCGCCATCTTCATCCAATCATCACTGCTGAAGGCCCCATCGCCAATTGGTGATTGAGCCTCAGTTCCGGTCGCCTACCTGCTGCCTCCACCAGCCCCAGTTGAGTCCCGACTCCTGGGCTGCCAGCCAACTTGCCTGCCTTTGCCTAATTTTTAGTAAGTTGCTCTTTTATTTTATTTTAGTATATGTTTTGCTTTTATTTATTTTGACTCTTGTTGGGGCATACCACTTACAAAAAAGCAAAGGAAAAACAAGTATCAACCTGTTATAGTTTGATACTTGTTTGTTTTTCCTTTGCTTTTTTGTAAATGATATGCCCTGACAATAGTCAAAATAAATAAAAACTTTACTAAAAACATATACTAGTGTAAGTGGTTGCCATATTATACTATGTTATAAATATTATATTTATGAATTAAAAAAATATATATACCGTGTTTCTCCAACAAAACGGCCTCCACCAATAGGAAGGCCCAGCATGATTTCTAGGCATGAGGTGAAATTAAGCCCCGCCCCCAAAATTTAGGCCTATTTAAACCATGCTTTTCCCCGCCATTTCTCACATCGTTTGTTAGAACTACACGAGGTGAAGAGAAATGGGCGGGGGATGGGCGGGGGACGGGTGGGGAGAAAACTTGCCTTTAGGAGTGCCCTTCAGGTAGCCTAGGCTAGTATACCCCGATAGCCGATAGAAGCTCCCTGAAGGCAGAGTCCCCAGACGCTTCAGGGCGTGGCATGGCTACCCGTGTCCCCTCGCCTTTAGGGC